AAGTGGTATCGGGAACCGCGATCACAAGATTTCACGGATTCCGCTTCCCCACACGCGTAGATCGCATAATCCTCGATGAAGCGACGATAATAGTTCAGGCTGACCAAAACGGATTGCATAGCACGCAGAGATCCGGGAAACTCGAGATCCGTCAACGCCGACAGATCCTATGGATTCGCTCCAGTCCACCGTGTGATACCTTGTGACCGAGATATTCCACGCTGGGCATGCCCCAGAAACGCTTGACAACGCTGATCGACAAGTTCCATTTGTTGCACGCCCCCAGAAGATCGCCCCCAGAAGATCTTCCGCTCGGTCACATAGCTGATCCCAATTATCCGCTGGTACTAAGATGTCGTCGATGTATGCTCTGCGTCCTAACACCGATGGTTTGCCGGATCTTCAGGTTCTCCAGCCTCGAATACATCCAGGCGCTCCAGACCACCGGCCAATTTTGGGATCCGGGTGAACCCATATAAGGCGTTGTCGATCATCTGCTGGTAGATATGCGGCGCATTCTTCAGCCCAAAAGGCACCGATTCCACTCGAAAAGTCCAAATGGGGTGATAAAGGCCGAGATCTGGCGAGCCCGATCCGTCATCTTCACCACTCAAAAACCACTCGCCATATCCAGTGAGCAATACCATAGTGTAGATTCCAGATCCTCCAGTAGATCGTTGATCAGCGGCATCGGGTAAACCATCAGCTGTGTCAGACTGTTAACCAACCGATAATCAATACACAATCGTATATCCACACCATTTTTCTTGATGATCACGACGATCGGTGATGGCCATGGCGATCTTGAGTGGTTGATCATCTTCGCCGACAGAAGACCCTTGATCAGTTCTGCCAACTTTTCTCGGAACTGGATCCGCAGCTTACGGCACTCAAGCGCGGTCGGTCGGGCTTCTCCCACATCAATATCACACACAACCCCTCGGGCTGCCGCGGGGCACATTTCCCTTGCCGATCAGCAGATGTCGGAACTTCCAGATCCGACGGAGTCGGTCGACTTCTTCCGGCGTCTGATTGTCGGATCCGCACAATTGGATGTCTTCGATCATCACATCTCCCGTCGTTACTGAGAATTCGGGCAGTACCGCGAGTTGTCCGTCGACATCTTCGGCGTAGAGAACACGGCCTTCGTGGTAATTCACGCATTCGTCGTAATCCTGATCCGACTCACAAGCGAGATCCAGATCCGATGTGTCAGGTTGATCGGGTTGATCAGGTTGATCTTCAGGAACAGCCGCCGGATCCTCGTCTTTTTTCTGCGACATAGACGCGACATCTTTCTGGTCCAACGGATCACCTGACTTATGACCCGTCCCATATTCTACACCCATCGATGATGATAAGTGTGACCCATCACCCTTCAACGTCGCCACCCTCGGATCTTGGACTTCTAGGGCTGGCGGATCTTGGTACGCACCAGTTGCACCACTTAGAACTTTATTTGCCACTACCGTTTCCGAGGTCTAGGGCCGGATCTGCCGTTATAATATCTGATACGCTCGGATCCCGATCGTCAGCGTCTCCACAACCGTTGCGACATGTGACATAGAGTCTTCATCTGCGATAGACGACAGATCCGACTCATCACTTGCGACAGACGCCTCATCCAACGGTCGACAATCCGGTTATCCGATGGCGGATTATCCGAAGATTAGTGTCGGGTTTCTTGCAGTAGCGACTTGCCGTCACGAGTGCTGAGTTGGTGAATGGGACGGCCTTATGGGAGCCGCCGTTGGAAGTTCTCAGTCAACAACGGTGGCTTACACAACCGGACTACGACTCGTGACCAACGCTCGTAGGTCCCTTTATAAGGACCTTCAACCAACCCAAGTCACTGTATCGGGAGTTGAGTACGACACACCACGTAGTCAAGATCCGCACTTAGGCGAGTCATCGTCGGGTGATTGGTCGAGTCGTCGTTAGCCGTTTGAGAGTCGTTAGCTTAGTCGCATTTATACTTGATAAGTTGTATACGCTATAGTAGGGGTTAGGACTAGTCTTAACGCCCACTAGGTCGGAGAACAGAACAGAATTTGCTACTTACAGGTCAAGACTTCATTTGGGTAAGTCCCAAAGGACCAGGTCACGTGGGTGGCATATATATCTGTTGGTGGACTCGGTTGAAGAACTCCTGTCCATCCGTGGTAAGATCAAGCGCTAGGTGTGAGGTTTGGTCGTATTGAAGGCCGACGAGTCATCGTCGACGACTGGAGGCACATTCCCAGTAATTCTTACCACTGGAGTAAGTACACCCCTACGTCGGGCTAAAAGTCAAGCACCTTCCACCAATGAAGGGCAGGCAGGGTCAAGTTCAAGGAAGAGGAGAAGAGCTCGTACCAATGACGTCAGTTTTGGTTGACCTACGACCTACCACCTTACCAGCGCAGAGTCAAGTGGAACCCGGAAAGGGATCGAATCAAGGACTATCGAGCATATTCCTTTGATCCCGCTCGTCGTTAGCGCTTTGCGGAACTGACGAATAGTTGTGAAGTGGCGGGAGGGGTACAATCGTGAATCCCAACACGACAACTGGTGCCGCGACCCGGGACTTCGGTTGACCTTCTGTGTTGATAAGAGTGTTATTTTGTAGGTTCGACTATTAGCTGAGAAGTTAAGAGAGAGTAAGTGACAATGACGAAAGGATCAAGTTATCCGGTACCAGCAACGCCGTCGAGAGGCGAGGATCGAGTCGACTACGACTCGACTCCTGGTACGGAAGACGTGGTGACGACTGGGCGATCCGTCAGCTTCGAGGACACGGAGGTTGATCATGATGCCAAGGATGAAGACGATTACGTCGACGATGAGTTGGAGGACAAGACACCCGTACCGGAGCCCGACCTTCACGAAGTTGCAGATGTGTTTGTGACGAAGAGTGGTGGCGTGAAGTCGCTGTCACGCAACCTTGCAGACGAATTTGAAGAAGCAGGCAAACCAGAGCCTGCTCATGATGATATGACGAACTTAACGACGACTTGAAAACGTCATCGACGATGACTCGCGGTACGAGTCAACTCACGACGAAGAAGGATGGGAATCGCCCGCCGATCAATGGAGATACTCCAGTTGCGAACAAGACACTTAGACAATGCTTGAACGCGATACTGGACACCAGCAGCTGGATCCAGTTGTTCGCACCAAAAGCTGCGCGACAGGCCGTGTGGGCTGTACTCGTCGAAGAACTCAGTTATCCTGTGAATTCGACGAGTACGAGCCAAGTGTGGCATAGCGCTTCCGAGTTTTCCTGAGAAGTCGGACGCCAGCCCCTGGAAGTGTGCCCGCACCTTTACCCGAAAGAGCTGGTCACGGGCTCTCGGGTCCTCGAGTGTCCGCCCCGGAGGAGGCTCAGTTTCAGGGGAACCTATGTCGCCCTGACCAACCGCAGTCGGTCGGGAAATCCGGGCGAAGAATGTGGGTCAGACAGGCGATCTTCCAAACGTCCGGTCCATAGTGACCCCAAGTCTCCGCATAGTGAAAACCAGTGTTTAGCTTATCTTAGGATTAGCTCTTGTCGAAGTGTCGCTACAAATCAGCGACCTAATAATTCAGTCTCACTTTCCCTTCTAGTGCGCAGAGCTCGTTTCTTTGGCTTTCCCGAGAAGGCAAAGCGTCAACAAGTTAATAAATAGTTCGCAGCCCGGGGGTCCGCGTCTGGAGGCTAAATCCCCAAGGAAAACGTTCAAGCTCATTTGTCAGGTGTCCCCAAGAGGACATCAGACATTCCATATTCCTAATCCCGGAGCGCGGTCTGGCCGGCACGGAGTAGGCACTCCATATTTCTAGGGTCTCGCTCATTACTGACGGAGTCGCCGGTGGAGTCTCTCTCCGAAAGACACAGAGTGCACATTCTAGTTGCGTATTAATTCCCCCCCCTGGGCTTAGGTAGTGCCCCGGAGATTGTTTGTTAAACTACCTATCTGGTGTACTTATAAAGTCGAGACCTTCTAGGAAGTCCTTAGTGGTTGACTTTTCTCTGACCAAAAAACCGTTTCGAAGGGGGTACACACGATGAGGTTATTGACCGGCTTCCCGGGACTTACTCGTCTGTAGCAAGCTTCCCCGGGAATCCACGACCCTGGGCAAATCCCCCGTCCAGGAGGAGCCGTCAATTCACGGGAACTTCGGTTCTCACACTCTGATCCATTGGTGCGTACGCAAATACCCACTTGCGTCGTGTCCCGGGAGCAAAAGTTCCAACTAATGTTGACAAGCAGAACATTAGTCCCGGCTCCAGAAGCTTGTCTTCGGTGGGCATTTAAACTAGGCTGCCCGCCAACCGAGACTGGGTTGTTCCCTACCGGGCATCCACAGGCCGCCGACCTGGTGATTGACTCGGAATGTTTGTATGCGTTCACTGGGAAGTGCGAATGGCCTGAAGACAACAACAACAACAACGAAAACAAGAAAAAGGTGGAGTTCAATGGAGAATGCGGCGTATGTCTCGACGGAGGCGCATTGCATGAGATTACTGAAGATACTACTACAAAAAATGTGGTGAACGATGACTGGCTAGTGACCATCTGTATAGCGAATGAAGCCGCACCGATGCACGCCAAGACAGTGAAGTTGCTCCCTGGGGAGCGTATGGGATGGTGGTCGTCACAGAGATTCGACCGACGAGTGAGAATGCGAGCTTTCGTGCGTGGTGCAGTAAACGATGTGAGGACTTCGATCCTCTTGGACGCCGTCGCTAACGTGAGCATAATCACCACGAAGTTGGCACGACGACTACGACTGAACCCTATCCAGGAGCAAGGTCGACAACTCGAGGTACAAGGAATTCAAGAAGGAAAGATGTCAACGACAACTCCAGTGACAGCCAAGGTTTCTCTAAGATGGAGCACAGTTTATGAGTTCGAGTTCTGGGTCATGGACCACAGTGCTAGGTCAGAAGTGGTGCTCGGCACCAACTTTATGATACCAGCTGGAATGCGCTTGGATCTGTATAACGCGACTGCCAAGCTTCCAGGAGAAGAAAAGGTGCCGCTGGTGAAATCGCTAAGCGCTGACGAATATTCAGCTGAAGGGATGCATGTCACCGGCGGACCGACGAAGAGCCTGCAGATACCAGCAGGAGAGTGGACCGAGTTCCGGCATAGTTAGGAACTCACGCCGTTTGGGTGCGGCGTACTGCCGCTCTGATTCTGACCACCATTTGGTTCAGGAATAGGCAACAGATTCTAGTCCGGTTCACGAACATCACGGACAGGGTAGTGTACTGTCCAGCACACCTTAATGTGATAGCCTGGATACCCCGAGGTTTTATGCCAAAGCAAGCTGGCTACGTACCAATTGGCTCTTGGAAGTACGAACAGTGGCAGGTGTTGGCTTATGCTGGATCGCATGACGAAACTTGGTTCAAGCTAGCGTGCGATACGAACGATGGCTGACATGACAGCCACCCTTGGTCGAATGACAGCCCTACACATGGCCGACTAGCATATTACAAAAACTCGACGAGTACTCAAGCGATGGTGACGATTCACTATCACAAGACGAACAATGGAGCATGGGGCCTGTGGCTCGGAGCGTTGACAGTGCGACCGACGACTCGCCAAATTGGCGATGATCCGGTTAGCGCTGCAGTCGCATTAGGAGCCCCAACTCCTACTCCAACTGAGTGTTTAGACATTGGCCGTGGTTGCAATAATCCACCGACTGAAACTCACAGCGACGAGAAAT